TCTCTCTCTCTCTCTCTCTCTCTCTCTCTCTCTCTCTCTCTCTCTCTTTACCCCTCGATCTTCATCACACCCACTCTTTCTCCTTCTCCTTTCCTACTTCCTACTCTGTGGCCTCCGCCTTCTGCATCTTTCCATCGTCGTTCCTTCATGCCGCGCCGTCCACCTCGAAACACGGAGTCGGGGACGGACAGGCGGAAGGTAAAGTGATCGAGACCGGAAGAGAAAAACTAATGGAGGCAATGGGCGACTAAAAAGAGACGGGAGAGCTGATGGGAGGAGATGGCAGAGAAGTGGCTGAGGAGCAGAAAGCTCGGAGCATTGAAAGAAAGACAAAGAGAGCGAGTGTAATGCATGGAGGATGAGTTAGAGCACAATAACACAGCAGACAGTAAAGAGCTGATATTACACCAGGCATCCATGGAGGCCATGTATTGATCCGCAGATGAGTGTGTGTGTGCGTGTGTGTGTGTGTGTGTGTGTGTGTGTGTGTGTTCAGAAAGGGTTCTGCAGCGAAGGAAGAGGCTGTGTGTTGTTTTTATGATCTCAAGACAGATTTGTGAAAATAATGAACTCGCTCCCAAAGCCACACACGGATATTATAATCTGTAATGTTTTTGTGAGAGCAAACACTGCAGAGTTTATAACCAACAGGAGAACAACTTGGATTTTTGCCTCCAGACATCATTACCAAAAAAAAAACTATACAATAACTGCAAATACAAACTATAGATGTCCATGACGCCAAATACAAATGGTGATCCCGCTCGAGCGCTTCGTGTCAGCGTGGGTTTAGCTGGGAGTCAGTGAAGGAAGAGGGAATCGTGGGACTTGTAGTCTTTGGCAAGGTGATGAATGATTGTTGTTATCAAGGCAAATTGCCCTGAAAGCCATAGAAGACGTCGCCACAGTGATAAAGAAACGGCTTATTGATTTCTGAGAAGTATTACAGTGAATATATCACACACACACACACACACACACACACACACACACACACACATACACACTGAAAGCGAGCAAGAGAACATGTGGGACAGAGGATCCATCTGCAAAGATATTTTCAAAAAGACACGTTATCTACTGTCCATGTTTACTGCAAAGACGAGCGGAGCAGGAACGAGTCCGAGAGGGGAAGTAGAGATGAGGAGATGGACCAGGAGCGGAAGGCATATACTGGAGATAAGGAGACAACAAATGAGAACCGATAGAGAGAGAGAGCTGCACATGACCACATTATGTAATCGCAGAAGCATCACATGCAATCAAATATTTTACTACAAATCAGGAGTTCTTCAAATGAAAATATAGGGAAGAGTGACAGCACTGTTACTTTCTCGTTATATTTCCTTCAAAGCAAAAATGCCATGAAAAATTGTTCCTTACAATTTAAAAATGGAGAAATAAAATATTTAGTTGACGACATAAATCAGAAAAAAGAGAAGCAGGAAATATCAAATATTTGGCTTTTTTCTTTCTTGATAAATCAGTTACACAAACTATAAATCGTCGATGTGGATGATCACATTTATATCTACCCGCCATTGATTACCAAACTAATGATTCGACGTTAGCTATCTACATTTATACAGTCTTTATATCTACAGTTGTGTGTTTTGCTGAGCAGAATTTTAGAGAAGAAAATAGCTTTGTTTTTTGTTTTTTCATATTTTGCATTTGGTGTGTTGTCATGACTCCAAAACGGCTGTTTCCACCCGAACTCCTCATGACGAACAGCTGGCCTGCAGCAAGATACACAACCACACACCAAGTACTAACACACACACACACACACACACAGGAAGGAGGTTAGATTGATCCAGGTTTAGCTCTCAGGGCTAAGAGTTATTGAGGAGAATCATCCCTCTGTAATCATGTTAGAGCCAACCAGACCTGCCCAATGCACACTGCTCTGTGCGTGTGTGTGTGAGAGAGAGAGAGAGAGAGAGAGAAAGCTTTCCTTTCATTTGTTTTGTGTCTCCTTCCTTTCCTTGTTGTTGTCGTCAGGGTCCTCTGAGAAATGTCAATGTGCCCTTCTGTCAAAGTCGGTCTCAATCAGCTAAAACACAAACAGAAGGTTACGCCGTCATTCACACAGCCGCAGATGAAGCAGACGGAGCTTTGGAGCCCCTCTTGTCACTATTCATCTCTGTGTCCATCTCTGACACACTCGTTTGTTTCTCTGTCTCCTTATCTCCATCACTCCTCTCTCTTTCCCCTCTTTATCTCCTTCTACATCCTCCTCTTTCCTCTCCTTATCTTCTCCCTCTCTACCGTGTCGTCTCTCTGCCTCCCTCATTCTGCCGCTGCTCATCTTCTCCAAGCATCTGTTTCTTTTATGATTATCAGCTATTAGTAGCCAGTTTAACACTCAGATCTGGTGTCTGTCGTGAGGTATTCCAGCTTCACTGCATCACGCGCAGACATGTTGGTAGAAGATGCTCCGACAGGAAACATACTGAAGCTTTCACTGTTGCACGACTGAAATTAAAGTTTGGGTTCCTCCGTGTTCTCTTTAGCAACTCGGCCACAGTGATCTCCAGCCACTTATTGACATCTCTCAGCTGCATTATTTAAGCTTGAGGTCACCAACTGTGCTGCTAACTATAATATGTTTTTGCGGAGAACTCTTGTGTCTTTGGGGACAGTTGGCCAGAAGCTGTGAAGGCAATGACGAGTTGAGAAGAATACCCTTCAGTGCTTTTGGGATGAGCACCTTTAATGAATTAACAATACTATATTAATAATTGCATGAATCATTTAGCTCCTATAGTTTATGTTTAATGGAAATGAGCATTGCTTTGATGTGGTTTGGGTCCGATGGTTACTGTAGAGCATCTATGTTCCAGGAGGTCTCGAGGTGGATGGGCAGCTCTCAAAAGGTGTCGTCTTTATAACGGTTTAAATGCTAACTTACCTGAACGACACAATCAGGATACAGCCACCCATTTTATATACCTGCTCATCGGTTTGGGGGCTTGGGGGCCTCTCAGCTCCTGAAGGTGGAGCACATGGTGACACTGTGAACAGAGGGCCAGTCTATCTCGAGGCTAACGCAGACCAAACAATGACAGACATAGCTGTGAGCGATTTACAGTTTCCAGTTCATCTGAAATGGATGTCAGCTGGAAGCCAAGCCACAGCAACACAGCGACAACTCCACACATTAAGGCCCCGGCATTCCAGTGGATTCAAACTCAGGGCTTCGCTAAGCCACTAAATAACCAAAAATAAACACCGTTTGGCAAACCTCTGGTCATCTATGGCTCTGCTTTTGGCCCTGGCCTCCTCAGATTTGGATGAGTTTGAGCTCGTGTCTGCGTGTTCGTCGAGTGGCTGAAACCACGGGCCAAATACACTCTGCTTCCCCTCCGATCCACCTCATCATCTCGTCTTTGTGCATGTGTGTGAGTGTGGTTGCTGGGGTGATGGCAGGGTTGGGTAGGCACTCCTCTTTAAGCAAGCGTGTGTGTGTGTGTGTGTGTGTGTGTGAGGCTGCGATCCATGCTAAACTGATTTCGCCATGGCCGCGCCAGGGAGGCTAACACAATTACTGCTGGCTAATGGCCCCACTGACTGAGGGGGGAAGAGAGGCAGCGTGGGTAGCTTTCTGGAGGTCTCTCATCTTGCTCTCTTGCTCTGTTTTCTCTCTTCTGTCTTCTCCCTCTCCACCAAATGTCTTGACCCTTTTCTCATCCCTGCTCTCTCGCTCTTTTATCATAGTTTCTGGGATAGCCGTCGCCCTCGGGTCAACTCGGTTCAGACGGGTGAAGCTTAGAATACTCGGTGCAAAAGCAAAGCCAACAAATGCAAATGGTCCTCCTTTTTCTTTCTTTCTGTAGCCATCAGGAGGAAGGAGAACGGTTGGTACGACGAAGAGCATCCTCTCGTGTTCCTCTTCCTCGGCTCGTCAGGAATCGGTAAATCACTCTCATCTTTCACACCAAACACTTCCCCTCTCTCTCCCGCTCTCATTTGATCTCATGAAACAAAGGCAAAACAAACAAAAAACACCTCTTCAGTGTCTTGAAAGTATCTGCCAAAATAAACGGAACACTTGAGTAAGTTTCTGAAGTTTGCTGAACGCATGCGGAGTGTATTTTCCTCCTGCCGGTCTGCTGATTTCAAAAGAAACAGAATACACAAGACAACAAAAGCACGTGTGACACTGTAAAACGTCAACACAAACTGGAGAAACTAAGTAGTCAGTGAAGGAGTTTGTCTCCAAGGTGTCGTTATTTACCGTCTGCAGTAAAAGAAGACTTTAAACCAGCATTTTGACTGTTTGGCACATCTACCTATTGACTTTATTAATCGCAAGGATCTTGACTTTATTAAGATTTTAATTCAAACTTGAAAAGATGGGCTCAATTTCAGTAAATAAAGACAGAAATCTGAGAGAATATGGTTTTAGTTTGACTTGATCTAGCTAGTGTGTTATTCCCACAGCTAGCACAGTAAGAGGCTGGCAGGCTAACGTTAATGTTTGCAAGTTAGCTGGTCTAGTACGCTAAACAACCTCAGTCAGCTGTTTTCTTAAAGGGATACTTTGCCGATTCCAACCAGCTTTGCATCATTAGTAGTATCTGCAAATGAACAATGCTGTTACAGTGAACAGGCAATTTTGTGGGTAGAAATTGTTTTGTTTTGATTGTAAAAGAATGAGATGATTCATATTACGGATCTGTGGTTGCATGCCGTTTCTATGAGCAGTTATTAACAACAGCTTCTGCAAACATTTTAGATGTCGCAACCTGTCAGACTCTGGAACAGCTCTGCAGTGTCACCGAGCTTTAGTCACGCCCACAAAGGCTCTGATTGGCTCGCTTGTTTCTCAATCAATTTCCCTTAAGGGGATCATAAAGATAATCATCCATCAGTCTCCAACCAGGGAAACTACAGTCGATCATCTGAAATCACTGACAAAATTTGTGATGTGGGCGGCAATTGTGAGGTCGTGAACCCGGCTAGTATCTGGTGTTTAGTAAGCAGTAGTGTGTAAGTGAATACACAGTAATACACGATACACAACATCTATAAAGACGTCCAGAGACAAACAGTCTGTGTACAGCACGTCAAGTCCAGTTAAGATGATACACAGTTATGAAAGCAGATCGTTATGCGTAGAAGTTTAGATCTAAGGTGTGTGTGTGTGTGTGTGTGTGTGTGTGTGTGTGTGTGTGTGTGTGTGTGTGTGTGTGACTCAGGACCAATCAAATTCAAACCAATCATTTTTTTAATTGATCAGTATTGGCTTTATAAAGCGACATCTATTTCTAATCCGTAGTTTATTGCAGCTCATAGAGCTCTGGGTGCACCAGCTGTCAAAAACGGCTCATTGCACTTTAAAACACCGGAGGAAACCTTTTGCTGGCGCACGGTGTCGAGAGCGAACAAATCTCAGACCAACACTACGGCGGTTTCAATTAAAGATACACACTGGGGACGCCGGGGATGAATTGAGACTGTCCAAATTCTGTCTGGACCTTTTCTGCTACAACAGATCCACGCCGACACTCCTCCGTCTCAAAAAAAGTGGATTGTTTCTAGTCGTTTTAAGGAGGGAAAGTGTGCATTGTGTAAGAAAAGATGATCTCAGCAAGACGAAGAAGTGTGTGTGTGTGTGTGTGTGTGTGTGTGTGTGTGTGTGTGTGTGTG